TTAAAGGCCACAGAAACTCCTAACAATTTTTATTTTTGGTTCCGTTAGATAGGAGATGCCCCTGTTGCGCACTTTGTAATACAGTCATACAAATGTCTGAGTATGAACATTAAAATCTTACTGCAAAAAATGTTATGTTGGAAACAAAACTTGTATTTTATAAATGAGAAATCTTGATGTAATATTTATGAAACAAATCTTAGCAATATTAAAATTAGTGAACTAAATCATTTTTCCAATGTTGAACAATTCTTTTATAAAAGTATGAAAACATTTTTTTAATCTTGAAGAAAATAAATAACACTTTCCTTTGAATTAATATAAGTTGGTACTTGTATTACAAAAAACGTTATCCAGGGCCCACCCAGTGATATAGTGGTTAAGTTTGCAAGCTGTGCTTCAGCAGCCCGGGGTTCACCGGTTCAAATCCTGGGCAAGGACCTAGACACCTCTCATCACACCATGCTATGGCAGCATCCCACATACAAAATAGAGGAAGAGTGGCAACACATGTTAGCTCAGGGCCAATCTTCCTCATCAAAAAAAAAAAAATGTTATCCAAACAAAATAGAAAATATATTGTATCTGAAACTTAATGCCAAAAATTTTTACTGAGGGTATAATATTTAATGTAAGTAGCTGAGAAAATCTTATAATGAGGTTAGAAAACATATTTGATATTTAGTATTATTTTGTGTCTTAAAATCTTGGAAGAGAACATTTTGACTAAAACATGCAAATGCACCAAATCTAACAATAAATGTGACAAGAAAGCAAGTAAACATATTTTTAATCCACAAACAGCAGCATATCATAATACAATGAATAATCACCATAAGAATGATAGTAAATTTACATATATATTATTTTCTAAAAACTTGAAGATACTAAAGAAATATCTATGCAAAGCAAATGCATAAATTAATAATATTAAAATGTTTAAAAATAAACCATAAATATATCTTGTGACTACTTCCACCTTGTGCTTAGCTGCATTTTCTCATTCCTTATTATGTTAATGAAATTCTGAACATTAAGTGAAATGCTAAATCTCAGGCTATCTTAGCATATTAGTTGTTCTTAAGGATTTCCTGCCCTCCAGTGGTATCTGCCTTAATATTTTCACTGCACCTTTCAACATTACAAAGAGAAGACACATCACTTATACATTTACATTTTGAAATTATATCACACTGTATGGCAGCATCTAACTTTTCTTTCATTACAGGTTCACTCTCAGTTTGTACCCATGCATCACATCTTGCAACTTGTACAGTGCAATTACTGCTTTTGTCTTGCACAATGTGTGCTGAATCACACTGAGACTGTGGAAACTGATCTGTCTTATCTTTAAGTGAGAACTGGTGAAAATTCTCATTTTGTTAATGAATTTTGGCATTGTTTTTAGCAATCCTATCATGTGGAAGTTTTGCCATCCTTTCTAAATAAAAACTGTTAGTTGTTTCTTTGGTTTTGATGGATCTCCCATTTGAATCTTCAATTTGCTGCAATATTTGATCTTCATCTTCAGACAGCTAAAAGAAATTTAGTAATTTTGCTGTAAATGATGCTTTAATTTTAAAAAATCATTCAATGACTTCAAAGCAGACATTCTTAAATTCACATCATGGAAAATTT